TGGCGAACACACACACCCTATAGCAAAAACCTCTCCAAAAAAAAGTTAAATAAAAATAAATAAAGTTAAATAAAATAACTTTTTTTTTTTTTGAGAGGTTTTAGCTATAGGGCACGTGCACTCCCTCTCGGGATCTCGGGCACGCACGCACACGCGCCCAGTGTGAATTCTAAGCCACCGGGTCCGGGACTCGAACCGCCATCGACTACATGGGAGTCCAGCGTCATAGCCATTACGCCAACTGCTGGTTTCTAATAAAATAATTCTTAAAAAAAGAAAAGTAGCTATTAAAATTGGATATGAACTCATGTATATTACATGTTAGTAGAAACAGCCTTACTTTCAGGACATTTCTTTGATGGTTTTATTTTTTATTTATTTATTTATTTTCTAAATTTCTTCCTTGAGCAAGAGAGAGATACATAAAAAGAGACAGAGACAGAGGGACAGAACCCCAACGGGGTCCTGATGCCATGAGTCAGCTCTAGTTAGCCCTGATCCCCAGCACACGTGTGCCTGCCATACTCAGGGACGGGTCCTCATGCAAGCCAGGAACATGCCAATGTGCCTCAGCCATGCAGAGAACTGCAGTTTACCACTGTGCTGCTGTTTGACTCCAGTTCAACTATTTAAATTCAGCAACTTTAAAATCTTCCATCAGGATTCCAATAATTAATTCTTTAGCTACTACTTCTCATTCACTGAAAATGGTTTGACTGACTCCAAACTTATTGTAAGCCAACATTTACGAATTGTAACAAGTAAGTCTCAAGTGATCAAATGACATTAGTCAGATGCTTATAAAGAATCAAGTTGGGGGTAAGTGTATGGTGTGATTGTGGAGGTGCTTGATCCCACATGTTTGACTCTGGGTTTGAGTCCCAGATCTGATGGTTTGAAAAACATACCACGTGCATGTGTGTGCATATTGAAAATGCAGAGAGAAAAAACATTTGCACAGTAAAGAAAACAGCAAATTTTGTAGAATGGAGATTCAAATAGAATCACAGGGATTCATATTTCTGCCTAGAATGGTGAATCCTTGAATTCCTAAATGCAAACGTTGTCATTCAGATCATTCTATTGTGCTATGGAGATTAAGGCTCTGCTCATTTTTAACTAAGTGAAATTTTATATATTTGTTTCCCATTTATGTCAGTAAAATTAAGTTCCTTAGTCCTATTTTAAAATGTAAATATGATCCAATGCAAATCTAGAGTCAAACCTTTAAAATTAACACAAAGAGGCATGGTGGCTAAGGCGCTGGACACTCCCACATGGCTGACCATGGTTCAAGTCCCGGAACTGGTGGCTTGCTTTCTCACTTTCCTTCTCTCTGTGTGTCTGTCTTTCTCTGGTCAAATGAAAATAAATGAATGAATAAATAGAAGTAAATAAATAATTTTTTATAAAAATGAGCACAAAGAATTTTAGGAAGAGATAAAGAAGATACCCCTTTTCCTCTTGAGCTCTTTCTGCATCACAGAACTGATTTTCCAAATCTAAATGGAAGCATGTGAATCTTCACAATTAACTAACTTGTTCGATTCTCTGATAATGTACATCTGTCCTTGGAGATATATACATAATGACAAGACTGGTGGTCTGAAAGTTGTAAAAATTAGAATACTTGCCATGCCCTGTGGAAATAACCTCTAAAAGAAATGTGCAATTCTGATGGGTTGACAGTCTTTTGCTCTGGCAATAACAATATAATCGACATTTTAGTATTTCTCTTCTTTTTTTTAAGAATCTTTCTCTATCTCTCTCCCCTCTCTCTCTCTCTTTCTTTCTTTTAATTTGACCAGAGAGGGACAGAGAGAAAGAGTAAGAGATAGATAGATAGATAGAGAGAGAGACATTGAGAAAGAAAGCCACCAACTCCAGAACTCGAACCACAGTCAGCCATGTGAGAGTCCAGCACCCTTAACCATCATACTACCTGCCTGCCCTAACATTTTAGTACTTATAAATAGAATAAATACTTTGAAGTTTTTTTTTGTGTATGTGTGTGATCCAGAGGTAGATCACTGATACTTTCTTTTTCTCCCACATGCATGACAAGCAAAAAGGAGTCTATAACTTTGGTGGAGTTTTTTTTTTGTTTTTTTTTTCCACAGGGCAAGTATGCTTGCGCTGGAGAGAGAGAGATAGAGAGAGGGGGAGAGTTAGAAATCACCCCTAGGGAGAATGGCCATGCCACAATCTCTTCTCCTTCATTTTCCTCTTGGAATGTGGGGCACACATGTGAACATGCCTGGCATGTTTTTCAGGTTGTCAGGTCTAGGATTTGAACTGTGGAGTTGGCCATGTGGGATCCAGTGCCTTAACCACCACACCACCTACTGGAACACTTAGAATTATTATTTATTTATTATTTATTTTTTTGGAGAGGTTTTTTCGCTATAGGACACATGTGCTTGCCAGACAGACAGAGAGAGACAGAGAGACAGAAGGTGAGAAATCACCCCCCAGGGGAGATGACCACACCACAATCCCTTCTCCTCCATTATCTTCTCAGGATTTTGGGCATGCATGCACATGCACCCAGTGTGTGTTTTGAGCTGCCAGATCTGGGACTCAAACCTTGGGCAATATGTGGGAGTCCAGTAATGTAACCATTATGCCACCTACTGGTTCCTGGAGTTATTATTTCTTTTTTTTAGGAGAGGTTTTGCTGTAGGGCGCATGTGCTCACCAGAAAGACAGAGAGAGACAGAGAGACAGAAGGTGAGAAATCACCCCCCAGGGAGGATGGCCACACAGCAAACCCTTCTCCATTCTCCTCTCGGGATCGTGGGCACGCATATGTACTCGCTTGACGTGAGTTTAAGCCACCGGGTCCAGGACTCGAACCGTGGATGACTACATGGGAGTCCAGTGACGTAGCCATTACGCTATCTGCTGGGTCCAAGTCCCGGATCCAGTGGCTTAAACTCATGCCGGGTAAGTGCACGTGCATGCCCAAGATCCCAAGAGGAGAATGGAGGAGAAGGGATCGCAGTGTGGCCATCCCCCCTGAGGGGTGATTTCTCACTTTTTGTCTCTTGTGTCCTCTTGGCAAGCACACGCGTTCTATAGCAAATACCTCTCCCCTCAAAAAAATTATTTTATTTTAACTTTATTTATTTATTTATTTTTATTTGACCCGTGAGGGACAGAGCGAGAGAGAAGGAAAGTGAGAAAGCAAGCCACCAGGTCTGGGACTCGAATCAGGATCAGCCATGGAGTCCAGAGCCCTTAATCACCACGCCACCTGCCAGCCCCTAGAGTTCTTATTTTTAACAAAGAGATTGAAAGCTTTACCACACTTAAATTAGAAGTAGAAAACTTTGACACAATGGTTAGAAAACAATTTAATAATGGTTACATTGCTGAACTCCCAAATAGTCAACCACGGTTTGAGTCCTGGACCTGGCAAGTTAAAAAAATCTCACACTGGGAGCATGTACGTGTGAGCCCAAAAGTCTAAGAGGAGAATGGAAGAGAAGGGATTGCAGCATAACCATACCCTCTGTGGGGGGAGGGGTGTGGGTGGGTGATTTCTCGCTTTGTTTCTCTGGCGAGTGCATGCACCCTATAAGAAAAATCTCTCTTAAAAAAAAAAAAAAAAAAAAAAGAAAGAAAGAAAGAAAGAAAAGAAAAAAGTAGGAAACTTCATTTTTTACTGTTTTCTTTCAGAGTTGAGATCCCTACTTGTTATATAAAGGTCAATTTTATCAAAATAATTGGAACAAAATTAATGAATTACAATTTTCTTTATCTCTCCCACACTACCCTAATCCCTATATTTATTTAAGCATGACACTGACATACAGTATGCTGCCATCATTGATTCTGAGTATGATGCATAAACATTTGTTCACACATAATGTGTACTCACCATCATGACCACAAATACCTGTTTTACTTTACAGCATCATTCCCACATGCACATGTGAATCTAAATTGTTAGACATTACTTTAAATAAGATCTTATTTTTTGGGGAAAGGAAAAACTAAATCTTTTCTTTGTATTAAAACTGCTAGGATCGGACCAGCAGATGGCGTGGTGGTTAAGGTGCTGGACACTCCCACATGGCCAACCACGGTTTGACCTGGTGGCTTGTTTTCTCACTTTCTTTTGCTCTGTGTGTGTGTCTTTCTCTGCTCAAATTAAAATAAGTGAATGAATGAGTAAAATTAAATGAATAATTAAAAAAAAAAAAAAACTGCTAGGAGCCAGCAGATGGCCTGGTGGTTAGGATGTTGGTCTCCTACATGGCAGACTACGGTTTGAGTCCTGGTCCTGCTGGCTTGCTTTCTCATTTTCCCTCTCTATCTTTGTCTCTCTTTGGTGAGTGCAGGTGCCATACAGGAAATTAAAAAAATAATATAATGATTAATAAAATTAAGTAGTAATTTTTTATAATTGCACAAGGCCGACTCTGTAGCACGATTAAGCACAGTGTATTGAAAGTCAGGTCTACATGTGAATTGCAGTTCAAATCCTGGCTCTGGCTGCTTGAAAAACACACTGAATAGGTATGCATGTGTGCCCAAAATCCTAATGGAAAAGAAGAGTGGAGGAAAAAGTATTGTGGTGTGACCATGCCCCGCTGAGGAATGCTTTCTCTCTCTCTCTCTTTCTCTATTAAGGGGACAAGTCCTCTGGAAACTTAAAGAGTTAAAAATAAGCTACAAAAATCAGTATATTTTCCTTTTGTTACCTTTTATTGTCTTACTATTTAAAGATGAGTCCTTTTCTCTATCTCATTCTTGGTATTTTTTTTTAGTCTTTTACTTATTTGATAATATATGCCAAATCTTCTTTATCTTTGGTTAAAAATACCCAGAGTTGAAGGCTTCCTTACATCTTTTGCTGAGTTCCCTGTTAATAGTGAGTCTTACCTGGTCCCCTATAGGATGTGGGTTATTCATTTTGGCATAGCTCACATGTATGCATATGTGTGAACACGTGCAGACTATATACCATTTACAAATAAGAACAATATACATACGCCTTGAATTTGTGCTATGTCTGTGGCTAATATTGTTGTCAAGGCTCCCGTGCTGTTTTCCTTATCATCAAACCAGGCAATATCCTAGAGAAAAGGGGAAGAATTAACATAAAATAATTCAGAATATTCTTCTCTGATTTATTATTTTGCTGTAATAAGTTAGAAAGCATTTATCTGCCTCCTCACTCAGAGGTACTTAATTCTTAAAATTACTATGGATCAGATGACTTTTGAGTCTTATTTCCTAAAGTTATACATGAGGGAATGCAAGTGGCTTACCGGAAAAATAATAATCGGTCCAATTAAAAGATGGGCAAATGAGCTGAACAAGAAACTCTCTAAGGGAGACATACGAACAGCCAAAAAGAATATGCAAAAATGCTCAACATCCCTTACCATAAGTGAAATGTAAATCAAAACCACAATGAGATACCACCTAATCCCAGTCAGAATGGTTAAGATTTAAAAAATTAAAAATGGTAAATGCTGGCAAGGCTGTGACAAAAAGGGAACTCTCTCGGGGTCAGCAGGCGGTGTGGTGGTTAAAGGTGCTGGATTCCTACATGGCCAACCTCGGTTTGAGTACTGGACCTAGTGACTTGCTTTCTCACTTTCCTTTCTTCTCTCTCTCTGGTCAAGTTAAAAAAAGAAAAAAAACATAACGGAATTGAATAAATAAATAATTCTTTAAAAAAAGAAAAGAGGGACTAGCAGTTGGCATAATGGCTATGTCACTGGACTCCCATGTAGTCAATCGTGGTTTGAGTCCCAGACCTGGTGGCTTAAACCCCTGCCAGGTGCGTGGGCATGCGTGCCCAACATCCCGAGGGGAGAATGGAGGAGAAGGGACTGTGGCATGGTCAGCCCCCCCGGGGGGTGATATCTCACTTTCTGTCTCTCTGTCTTTCTGTGTCTTTTTGGAGAGTTGCATGTGCCCTACAGCAATAAAACCTCTCAAAAAAAAAAAAAAAAAAAGGAAAAGAAAAGAAAAGGGAACTTGCTTACATTTTTGGTGTGAATGTAAATTAGTACAGACACTTTGGAGAACAATATGGAAAATCCTCAAAGACCTATAAATAGAACTACTATAAGATCCAGCAATTCCACTTCTATATATCTCCCCAAAGGACAGACATATGCTCAATCAGAAAAGTATGTGCACATCCATGTTTAGTGTGGCATTATTCACAATTTTTAGGACATGGAACCAACTCAAATGTCAATGAAAAGATGAATTGAACTGAAAAAGTGTGGCACATATACACTATGGAATACTGCTCAGCCTGACATTTGATAGAGAGTGGGTGAACACAGAAGATATTTCTGCTAAGTGAAGCAAGTCAGGCTATAAAGAGAGATATTGTACAACCCTACTTAATATATACCCAATGTCTGCAGTCTAAGGCAGAACTAAAAGACCAAAAGATATAAAAGCGTGGAGAACAATTGTGGATACTAGAGACAGTGTGGGAGGAGGGTGAGAAATGGGAGAGGGTGAGAGGGATGGAATCAACAGGAAAAAGAAACAAAACATTTAACATTTAAAAAGAAAAACAAAACAAAAAGAAAGACACAAAAATGGAAAATTATCTGTTGATAACGTGTATGATAATATCTTTAACTGGACTAATATACAGTGTATTTATGCTGGGAAAATTCATTTTATAAGCTGTTATGATATGCAGTGAATGAATATATAAATAAATACACTGAAAAAAGATATAAATTTATATATAAATGGTAATATTTAAGCCCAACACCTTGGACTTGTTACCATGTGACATAATTTTATAATAATCATTGCTAAAATAGTCATTTTAATCCATCAAGTAATTTATAATTTTACTCTCTAAGTAATTTGCAGAGAGCAGACTCTATTTACATAGTGAAGTGATACACAACACAACTTAGAAATACTTTTCAAATCTTTCTACCTAAACTGACCAATTATAAAATACCTAAAATTCTTCTCTTTAGGAAGACCTGACATTTCATATTGCCCTGTAGATCTTAGAAGCACTGGGCGTTGAAAGAAGCTAAGAAGGCAGAAGGCTGTACAACTCCTATAGTCAAGAAGCATACAATCTAAAGAAGGAAACAGGTAAAAAAATACATTGCTATGAAAGAATGATGTAATAGTCAATTTTTTTCTTTCTTTCTTTCTTTTTTTTTTTTTTTATTTTTTTGCCATAGGGCTATACACTGGCTGGAAAGAGACAGAGAGACAAAGAGAGGGAAAGTGAGAAATCACCCCCTGAGGAGATGGTCATGCCACAATCCCTTTTCTTCCATTCTCTTCCTTGAATTTTGGGCAGGCACACACATGGCACATACACATGAACTAGAGTGATTTTCAAGCTGCTGGGTTCAGATCTGAAACGCAGTCTGTCCTGTGGGAATCTAGTGCCTTAACCACCATGACACCCAGTGGTCCCACGAATTTAATTTTCAACAGTAAATAAAGACAGCCCTTTATAGTGCTTCTCAACCTGGGAAATTCTGACTTCCTTTTATTAACTATTGAGTTTCATCCAACTCACTCAAACCACTTTTTCTCTTCTAGATTAAAACCATGTATAAACTGTCTCTGAAAAATGGCTTATTTTGTTCATTTACAAAACAAAACAAAATGTTGGCTTCTGAAACCCAGCTGGGGCTCTGTGGCCCAGGTTGCCTGATTTTGCCAAGTATGGAAACAATCTAACAAATCTGTTAGATCCAGGGTTGTGTGTTAATCATGCAGTTGTGTAGAAGAAAACTCCCAAGGAGGAATATGGTAGGAGCCAAGGTGGGTACAACACCAGTATGACAGTACCACACTGTGGGTCATTGCATTGAGGAAGTATCTCAATGAGTTTAGGCCCTAGATAACTCAAGGGCATCCTATAGGGATTCCAGTCTGCACTGCACAGTAACCATTTCAAAAGCACAGCCCCAGCCAAGAGCCTAACACATTGTGAACACACAGTAGTAATAATAATAATATATAGTACTCTTGAACTGAAGGACATTACCTGATTTTTACCGTATATCCCCATCCAGCCCCAATATATTAAAAAAAATACTATGCATTATTGGGGACCAGCAGTTAGTGTAATGGCTATGTCGCTGGATTCCCACGTAGTCGACCGCGGTTTGCGTCCAGACCTGGAGGCTTAAAACTCACGCCCGGCATGTGTGCGTGCATGCCCAAGACCCCGAGAGGAGAATAATGGAGGAGAAGGGATTGTGGCGTGGCCATCCCCCCCTGGGGGGTGATTTCTTGCTTTCTGTCTCTCTGTCTCTCTGTCTGTCTGGCAAGCACATGCGCCCTACAGCGAAACAAACAAACAAACAAACAAAACAAAACAAAAAACACCCAAAAAACCAAAAACAAACAAAAAAACAATATGCATTATCATATTATCTAATTGATTCTGGATTTATTTTTTTAAATAATTTAATTTAATTTATTATTGTTATTTTTAAAATTTGCTATAAAGCACATGCGTGTGATAGAGAGAGAGAGAGGGAGAGAGAGAGAAAGTGAGAAAGAGAGAAAGCAAGCTGCCTAGTCTGGGTCTCAAATCACGGTTGGCCACATGGGAGACCATTACTCTAATCACCACGCCACCTGTTGGCCCCTGTTTCTAGATTTCAACACAACATGGAATGCACAGAAAATGTTTACGTAAACGTCAAAAAAAGAATTTATTTTTTAATATTGCATCCTTGAGTCTATTACTTGCTAAAAAACACAATGCACAGGATACATGAAGGGACTTCAAAATGTTCATGGAAATACTGAATTAAAGTATGAGTTTATTTTGTTGCAAAATACTTTTGAAATCTATGCCTACTTTTTTCATAATCTCCATTTTCGTAAACTTTCAAAATATCAAAAAAAGAATTTATTTTTTAATATTGCATCCTTGAGTCTATTACTTGCTAAAAAACACAATGCACAGGATACATGAAGGGACTTCAAAATGTTCATGGAAATACTGAATTAAAGTATGAGTTTATTTTGTTGCAAAATACTTTTGAAATCTATGCCTACTTTTTTCATAATCTCCATTTTCGTAAACTTTCAAAATATCCTTTTTCTACTTAACTAGTCTTAGTCATTTTTTGATGTTCATTCAGCAAGATGTCCAAAATCTGTTTTGTTTTAATTATTTTATTTATTATTATTACTTTTCATTTGACGAGAGAGAGAGGAAGAAGATGAGAAAGCAAGCTGCCAGGTCTAGGACACGAAACGTGTTTGGCCGTGTGGGAGTCCAGTGCCTCAATCGCCACGATACCTGCCTAGCCCCCACAATTGTTTTTTAATAAGTCAACAATTATGCCCTCTAAAGATGGGTTCTAGCACAGGCAATGTAAGCTAAACATTTAGCAGAGTTTCTGGAATTTAATTGGTATTGAATTAAAAAGTAGCTTTACTTCCTTTCTTCCTGATGGTAAATAATTACTAGTAAGGCTATCAGGCTTTTTGATATTAGTAGACTCAATTTTTATTTTCTACTAATAATTTCACTACAAATCAAACATATAATAACACTACAAAAAATGTTTGGCACGTATGTTCTTATTTAATCAGCACAGAAACTCTAAGGTAGATGTGATGATTATTCCTATTTTTAAATGAGGAAATTATGGTATAAAGAAATAAATTTGCCCAAGGCAATATGGCTGGCAATCTTGAGTTTAGGATTCAGCACCAGAAGTCAGATTTTTTTTTTTTTTATTGAGAGACTTTTGCTATAGGGCATGTGCGCTCGTTGGAGACACAGAGAGTGAAGGTGAGAAATCACTCCCTAGGGGAGATGGCCACACTGCAGTCCCTTTTCCTGCATTCTCCTCTTAGGATTTTGAGCACCCACACACATGTGCCCAGTATGAGTTTCAAGCCACCAGGTCAGGGACTTGAACTTCGGTGGACCATATGGGAGTCTAGCACCTTAACCACTACACTACCTGCTGGCACTGAGATTTTTAAAAAAGTTTATTTATTGATACTTCTCCTAAAAGTGAGAGAGACTGATAGAGAGAGAGACAGTATCTTCAAGAGGATCCTGATGTCATGAGTCACCTACAGCTTT